AAATATAAATATCCCACGCAATAAACAGGGTCCTCATTGTCTATTGGGAAGTTCATCATGGGAACACTTGACTCGAATCATTTTACACAAATATAGATATATATTTGTGAAATCTTGAGGAAGGGGGCTCTCTTATTAACGAGGAAGCGAAACAACTCGCACCAATGTGCTAATCGAACGAATATACACATTTCTCTTCAGACAAAATGCATCGGCCATGTTTGTATTCACAAGACTCGTAAAATATCCTCTATATGACCTGCGATGATTCCTTATATCTTCCACACTGAGTCTCATAAGAGATGCGAGCAATTTAATACTCGTTCTTTTTTTTTTTTTTTTTTTTTGGTCGAAGAGAGAAGAAATCAATATAATATATTAGGTGTATCGACAGATGCTAAATTTAGCAACTGGATTTGCTAATTTGATAATTTAATTAGAACCTGAATTACCACGATGATGAATTTCCACGTGAGCTAAGTGAATTAGCGAATCAAAGGAGTTTTATATATGCCGTTAGCATTGAAATGTCTGGGATATCAGTTTTTTTTATCAGATCGCGCAAGTTCTTTATATTTCTTTAAAGTCGGATTTCAAGTTCTTTTTAGAAAAAAAACTGTTGTTTGTTAAACAAAAAAATAATTAGAATTTTTTATTTTCAAATATTTTAATTATTTTTTAGATGAATTTTTGAATTAAAATTTGATAGATTTTCTTTTTATACAATTTTTTACTAAACAAAATTTGTAGCTACCGAATTTTTGTCATATTTTTAGTTTACAGTCATTTTTGTAAATTCATCGAATTTTAATTTGTCTGAATGTTTAATTAATAGAATTTTTAAAGACGAATTTTCATTTGTCCGAAATTTTAAAAAAATCGACGAATTAACAATCGATTTAGGCGAATTTTGATAAATTAAAATTCTCTCAAAATAAAAATTCATATGTCATTTAAATGATAATAAAATAAAAATTCTGACAAAAATCGGTGGCGAAAAATTTTTGATTAAAAATTCGTATAAAAAAATTTTTTAAAAAAGAACAATACAATTTCGAAAAGAACCGAAATTTGGAAAAACCGAATCAATAAATAATTAATGAAATTTTGATTAATTTGAAATTATCGTTTTTTTAACGCAAGGACGATAAACGAAGAAGAAGAATAAAAAAAAGAAGAAGATTGGAAATAAAGGCGCTGGATTGGATATTATGAACAAGTCACAGGCAGTTAGCGCGTGTTTACACGAGAACGTTATGTAGCCGGCGACCTCACAGAACAGTCTCTTCGCGATGCAGAAGAGAACGTTTCTATTTGTCCGAGGAGGAGAGCTTCCTTCTCTCTTTTTTCGTTTTTATCGTTTCTCCCTCACACGATATATATATATATATATGGGTCTTTCTCTAATGATCCTCTTCTTGTCCCTTCGTTCCTCACCTTCAAGAGATCTCTCCTCTACATCGCATAATATAATGACCCCTCTCCTCAAAGTCCAGTCAAGCGAACGCTAACCAGAGGCTCCCTTCTTCTTCTTTTTCTTCTTCTTTCTCATCCGGAGATTGATATTTAAATGTGACCAATTACCCAGAAGAATAACCACTCCTTGCGCATCTCTTTTAATATTTTATATATATATTTCGTTTTCCTCTATAGAAAAAGAGAGAAAAAATTAAATCAATGACGAAATATAATTTTTTGATTTCTTGAATCAATCACACGTCAACATGATCATGTTTAATCTCATGATATTATAATAAAAAAAAAAAAAAAAAAAAAATGAAAATGGAATCCTCAAGTCCATTAATTATCTCGTCCTTCGTTTATAATTATTGAAAAAATATATTCTATTCAAATCTTATCTTCTTGGTTTGTTTCATCATCAATTTTGAAGATTAATCTCAACTCGTTATATAGTTCTTATTATAGTGAAAAAAAAGAGAGAGAAGAAATATTTTAATATCTTTAAAAATAATTCAAATTAGTAAAAAAAAAATAAATTTAATAAAACTCTGCAAAATAAAAATTCTTTGAGGAAAATTCAATTCTATAATCAATTTTCTCTTTCTCCTTTTTTTTTAGATAAAACCATTAATTTCCAATTAGGTAATTTTACCGAAATTTTCCATTTAATTTTTCTTATCTACTATCTTACCATCTTTTTTTTCAGCAACCAATCCCCGGAGATGGTTTATAATAAAAGAATGGACTCACCAAAAAGGTAAATGAAGCTTTCTCCAAAAATTGTTAAATGGAAACGTTTTCTTACCTGAAAGCAAAAATAAAAATAATGAGTTATAGAAAGAAAGAAGAAAACATTTAAATATTATAATCGGTAAAAATAATAATTTTTTTTTTTCAAATATATATATATATATATATATATATATATATATATATATATATATATATATATATATATATTGATATGAGAAAATTGCATATTTTGTTGAAAGAGAAAAAGATTACAATCTATGTATATATAGAGAGGATATAAATCATTGTGTAAATCATGGAAGAAATCACTTTTAGTGCTGTTTAAGATAATAGTAAATCCTAATCGTATATAATATAAACGAGAGAAAGAGATCCTTGTGATAGATCGCGTGAAGCATGCGAGGATGGAATCATCATCATCCAGGAGTATTTCACGCAGGAACGATCACACGAATCCTTATTTGGCGCCCTAGAGCAAGACAGAAAGTCAATTTGACACGCACAATTCTTTTTTTTCGGTGGAGGGCGAAGAAGAAGAAAATAAGAAGAAGGACAATAAACGCTAATCCGACAATAAACGCATCTGAATCCGAGCCAAGTGTATAATTCGCGAACGAGAGAGAGAGAGAGAGAGAGAGGAAGAGAGAGAGAGAGAGCTTATTATGTAACTAACCAAGGCGTATATATGATAAAACTAGAATTAGACTGACCGTGTAGTCGACGCATTAAAGCTGATAAATTGTCACATTTAGTCACTAAATAATGAGCTTTTCTCTTTTTGCTTATGTTTCCTTGTGGATAAAACAAATTTTCTTTAATACTCTTATTACTATCTTATTAATCAGGATCAATTTTCTTCTCTCTGTTTTTGACGATTATCCTCCCACACTCGATTTTCTACTTCTAATAATAATTTACCCTTTTTTAATTATTTTCCAAACAAATAGAATTTGAAAAAACAAAATACACATTCAGAAATTCTAATTCTAATAATAAATACTCAAAAATAAAAATTATTTTAATTATTTTATACACAAATAGAATTTGTAAAAATTATTATTTCAAAGAATTTTTTTTTTCATCTACAACCAGAATCGATAATTAAATCATAATTCGAAATTATTTTTATTTTCAAAATTCTCAAAAATCGTAAAATTTATACATAGTCTACAAAAATTAATCTTCTCTCGAAAAAGAATTTCTCGAGGATAAAATCAATAAAATGTTATTTAATGAAGAAAGAAAAAAGGGGATTTAATTTACGGATTTTTTTTGCTAATATTTTATTTATTTTTTTTTTTTTTTTGATAAAGTTAGCAAAGGTGTTGATCCACTCGAAACATTGTATGTGGAGACCAATGCATAAATAATTGAGGACTATCGATCGTAAAAAATTTCGATTCGAGTCGGTTTTTTATAATAAGGGGGCTTTGGCAAAGGATCTTGATTTCGATCTTTATATAGTTGAGAATTTTTGAGAACGTTAGGAAAATTTTACGATCATTTATATATTTATATGATGCCTGAACTATATACACTAAAAAGTCAAATTTACGTATATGGATGGGAGGAGTGAGAGAGAGAGAGAGAGAGTCAGAGAGGGAACGATATTATTAATAATTTTAATAGCGTCGGCCCTCACAGATCGCCGTTGCCATAAAATCCCGGCTGAGGTGTTGCTACAGTTGATGTAAACGAGCTCTACTTGTGGCCTGTATAAAAATTTTTTTTTCTTTTTTTTTTTGGAACTAACGGCAATTTTATAGACCTCGTTAGAAAAAAATCGGAATTAAACGAATTTTCCATCTATTTTTAATTTAAAATTCGAAATAGTTTAAAAAATAAATAAAAATTATACAAAAATAAATTTTTAAAAATAAATAAATTCCAAAAAATTCTTCAATTTTAATAAAAAATTAATTAAATTCAGAATCGTTAATGCAGTGTTCAAAGAGACAGGAAATGTGTTCGAGAAATCGAGGAATCGAACTATAAAATATTTTTCCAGTAAATTTGTCAATAGCTCTCTCTCTCTCTCTCTCTCTCTCTCTTCCAAGGTTTAGAAAAAAAATTTTTATGACAAGAATCTTTTGAGACAGTTTTGGTAACGATTGAAAATTAGCTGAGAATCGACCTTGGAATCAAAGAAAGAAAACGAGAGACTATAATCGCCGACAAAATGTCAGATCCATTTCCTGATCGTAAAAAAAATGCAACTTTTATGCCCTGCAAATAAAAATATAAATGATCAATAATTTTTTTTTAAATGTTAAAAAAAATTAACAGAATTTTAATCAACAAATTAAAATCTTTTAAAATAACAGCACAATAAAATTATAAAAATAATTTTCTTCTAAACTTTTTATTTTTCCAAAATAATTTTTTTTAATCCCTCTTTTTTTTGGGGAATTAAATTTTTTACGATAAAAAAATTTAAAAATTTAACTGCTCATAAAAAAGGGATGATTTTGTATAGTGTCTTCTTGAAATACTATTATGGAACTGAAGAAATCTTTATTTGCAGTGCATAAATTTTGGCAGAAAAAAAAAATAGTACAAGAGTTTTTTTTTCAACTGTCAAACTTAAATTCACACGCACTAAACAGTCTTTCATGGTACACAAAAATTTATGACTCTCTCGCTTAACATATAAATGAATATCGAGACTATAAAAAAAAAAAATATTTAACGTCCATGACGATTATGTTCACATAACTTTTTTTTTCAATTTTAAAATCACATTTTTTTCAATTAAAAATAATAAAAAAAAAAATAACAAAACAAACCATTCGAAGTTGATTGTCACCCGTCTGCAATTTCATTAAAGATCCTGATGATGAGAAATGTTCCGGCGATAGCATCGTGCAATAATTATTCTCGAAATTTTTCTAAACAAAAGAAAAAAAAATAAAAATAAAAATAGATAAAAAAAAAAATTTTTCACTTGCTTTGAGCAATAAAATATAAAACACAAGATAAAATTTTGAATTTCACTCACGATTTTAACTTTTATAAAAAACTTTTTTTTTTTTGAGTCATTTTTTTAGTAATTAATTAATTAAACATGATTGTCACGTCTCAAGGACGAAATTTTTTTAAAAGAAAAACTTTTTACAGAGCCCCGGCGAATGAGCCAAGGAGCGTGCCATTGGTTTCAGGCCGACTACCATATTCAACTGACTGAAGTCTCAAAATTCCAAGAGATCAGGGTTTGGGATTCTTATATTCCATCTCTTTCTTTTGGAATATAATATGGCCCATGATAGGGTAGTTCCAAGGTCCCCTTCCATCTTTCTTTCTCTCTGTTTTTCCCTATGACACACCTGAAAAATCATCATCATCATCAGGAAATATATTCCTTTCCCCCACTCTTATTTTCTTTCATGAAAAACCTCCCGTTGAGGGAAGAAAGAAATCGTGATCTTATCTCAGAAAAAAATCGTCCTTAAACCATTGTCAACAAAATTCGGACCTTGAAACGAGAGCCAATTTTTCATTATAATTAATTAATAATTCTATCCAACAAAAACTAAATAATATTAATAATAATAAAACCAATTTTTTAATAAACTTGTAAATAAAAAAAAGATTCAAAGAATTAAAGAATATTAATTATGAAAACACAGGCCTCGAATCAACTTAAAGACACAAAAAAGTCATTTTAGTCGATTTATATTCCAAAAAAAAGTGGATTTGTTTTTTATTTTAACAAAAATATTTTACAGATTTTTAATTAAAAAAATTTTTTTTTTAATAATAATCCTTTTCGAAGGGTTAAAGTTGAAATTTTTAGAAATAATTAAATTTCAAAAGATATTGTTAATTTTCAAACAATTATTAAATTTTACAGAACTAAAAATAATTTATCAAACAATTTTTAGAACACATTTTTTAAATTTAATTGAATTTTCAAAGATTTAAAATTGAGATTTTTGAAATTATTGAAAATTCAATTAATTTTGAATTCAAATTATTGAGAATAATGAAATTTTATTTGATTTTAAATTTGAAAAATAATTGAATTTCAGTTCATTTTGAATTGAAAATTTTGGGAAATAATTGAATTTTAATTGAAATTTTGGATAATAATTTAATTTAAGTTTATTTTTGATTGAAAATTTGGATAATTAATTTTGAATAGAAATTTTAGAAAATAATTGAATTTTATTTCATTTTAAATTGAAAACTTGGTAAATAATTGAATTTTAAATTGAAAATTTTGGATAATTATTGGATTTTGAATTAAAATTTCGGGTAATAATTGAATTTTAGTTTATTTTGAATTGAAATTTTTAAAAAATAATTCAATTTTATTGTGATATTTTTTTTTTAAATTATAAACAATTGTTAAATTTCATAAAAAAAATCATTATTATCATTTAATATGTAATAATATTCTAATAAATTAAATTATTGTTGATAATATTAATCTTTAATTTCTTTATAACAAACAATTAAATATTCAATTTGGCGCGCTTGCGCGCGTTTAATTTTGTTAGTATAATTTAATATTTTACGTAATAAATGAAGAATGTTTGAAATGCGTTCAAACCCTTTTTTTTTCTTGTCGACTAGTCTTCATTATTATTATTATTATTATTTTTTTTTTTTTTATTTAAAAAGAGCTAAGGTCGTATATTCTAAAGTAACGAAAAAAGAAAAATTTACTAAACTCATAATACGTATCGATCATCGACGCTTCCCTGTACTTATGTGCACTTTCCAAGAAATATCTGCATCTCGAATGCAAACATCTATGGGTACTTTGAATATTGCATGTGCAAAGGAAATTTCGATTCTAGGAATATAAGCTCTGCGCCTCTTACAAGCGAAGGATTATATTGCCCAGATGCATATGTTGAGATCAGGAGGAATCGATATGTTCAAAGAATATATGAAAATAATAAGCCAAAGAAATAGCAGAAATCACTAACAAAAAACTGTTTCTCTATATACTACACATTATATTTAAAATTCATTCCTCGACGATTATGTTTTACGATTTCTAGATTATTTTCTTACTTTTATTTTTCTCCTTTTTTTTTTTTACATAACTATATTTCGTCGAACAATCAAAAACAATTTCGCAAAATAATTATCTGATTCTGAAAATTGATTTTCGCAATTTTTTTTAAATTTTAATAAAATTAATACCGAAATATATTTTTATATAATTTTTTTTTCGAATTTGGAGTAAAATAAAAATTCATTCATAACTTTCTCAAAAAAGAATTCCAAGACAAAAATACTAACAAAAGCACAATGTAGCAGTAAACAAATGTCCTTCCAAGAAGATTTCAACTTAAAAGAATGAATCAAGAACTTCCGGTTGAATGAGCCAAACTTTAATACCAAACTCGTGAATTACAACAAAGTGTAACAATTTGTGAAGAATTTTTTTTTTTCAACTATTATTATACCGACAAAGTGTTTTTCCATGAGGAGAAAAAAATTTTTTTTTTTTTTTTTTTCTATATTCTAAGAAAAGGAGATCGAGCAGAAATCGGAAAAGCATCTGTTCTCGATGGGGAATGAAGAGTTTTTGGCCCAGGACCTTCCTCAATGTTGTGAGTTTATATATATGTATCGGACATAAGAAGACATCCGTCCGTTCATAATATTCAAGAAAAACAGGTATCTTCGTTTATACCTGACGATTTTCTAATCCCATTTTTGGAGTATTAGATTTAAGCGCAAAATACCCACATCTCTCTCTCTCTCTCTCTCTCTTTAAATTTTACCTGCGAACAAGAAGGAAAACAATTTTCAGATAATTTATAACTTATATTGAAACTTTGCGTTTATTGTTCTCAAAAAGGGGGGGTGGCAATGATTTTCGCGATTTAAAATTTTTGAGTCAAGGTTGTCTCACAAAATTAACGTCTAGATTAACATCTTTGGCACAGTATGGTGTACAATTATTATTATATTTTTGTCCCTTTAGCTGTCAATCCATGGCGCCTGTTTATTCACATCTAAAAATTTACAAATTCTCAATTAATATTTATACAATTTTTTAGAATTTCAAATATTTAAATTATTTATTTAAACTATTTATCAAAATTATTTATTTAAACTACTTATCAAAACTATTTATTTAAACTACTTATCAAAACTATTTATTTAAATTATTTATCAAAAAAAAAGGAATTTACTTTTTGAAAAATGGGATTTTTAGAATTTATTTAATCTCATTTAAGCGGGGAAAAAATCGTAATGGACCTAATTTATGAGAGCATTAATAAAAATAGTTTGAGACTCGGTGGAAAAAAAAAAAAAATCCCGGCGCCATTGGAACATATATAATATTAGGCTACTAGGGTGACTAAATACAAGTTCGTCAAAAAAAAATGTGATTAATCAAGTCCCAAGGTCGTATAATGTCGAGGTAACCAAAAAAGGTATTAACGTTCCTCTGAATCAGAGAGACGAATATAAATTATAAAAGGCGTCTTTTGTTAAGACAAAATAATAATGACACGAAAGAAAAACCATGCTAATGAAAATTTTCCAATACCCCTGAGATAAAATGCACTTGTTTTTCCTAAATTTTCATATTTTTCCAAATTCTCAAAAGATAAAGATTTTTAAAAATTACAGAATTTAATAGTTTCTTTTTGACAATTTAATCAGATTTTTTTCTCCAAAAAAAGGAAAATTTCTATTCTCCATTTTTTAAAAATAATCGAACCTTTTTAATATTTTTAAAGAAATAATTATTTCGCTAGGAATTTTTTTTACCAGATTTGAACACACAAGAGAGAGAGAGAGAAGAAATCGTGCTGTTTCAAAGAAAACTATTATTATTATGAGTCAGACACTCTCTTGACCGCAATAAAGTCATTAAAGTCAATCTTCAATAAATCAATCTCTTTTCCAAACTGATATTATTCGAAACACACACACACACATATATATAAATATATAAATATACACACACAATAACCAAATTGGTCAATTGTTGCCAATTCGGTGACAATTTAGAAATTTACCGATGTCTGGCGAGCCTGGAAAAGTATAAAAGACGTCGTCGCAAAGATTTATTTATTTGCAATTCTATTGGAATTCTTATTGTCAACGATGATCAAGAGAAGAAAATTATTGCCATATTATTATATTGGGGTCACTAAATCGAAAATTTGCAAATACAAATTCTGTTAAATACAAAATTTAATTAAATAAAAATTCTTACAAAAAGAAATTAAAAAAAAAAATGGTATCAAAAATAAATTCAATTAAATGAAAATTAAATCAAATGAAAATTCTATTAAATACAAATTTAACTAAAAATTCTTTTAAAAGAAAAATGGTGTCAACAATTAATTCGATTAGGTGAAAATTAAATTAGAATAGGTAGAAATTTAATTAAATAAAAATTCTTTTCAATAGAAAAATTTGAAGAAAAATTGATATCAAAAATTAAATCGATTAAATGAAAATTAAATTAAATACAAATTTCATTAAATAAAAATACTTATAAAAGAAATTTTTTTTTGGAAAATTGGTGTCAAAAATAAATTCAATTCAATGAAAATTAAATCAAATGAAAATTCTGTTAAATACAAATTTAACTAAAAATTCTTTCAAAAGAAAAATGGTGACAAAAATTAATTCGATTAGGTGAAAATTAAATTGAATGAAAATTCTGTTAAATACAAATTTAACCAAAAATTCTTTTAAAAGAAAAATGGTGACAAAAATTAATTCGATTAGGTGAAAATTTAATTAAATAAAAATTCTTTCAATAGAAAAATTTGAAGAAAAATTAATATAAAAAATTAATTCTATTAAATGAAAATTAAATTAAATACAAATTTAATTAAATAAAAATTCTTATAAAAGAAATTTTTTTTTTTTGAAAATTGGTGTCAAAAATAAATTTAATTAA